TGAATATGATGGGGAGAATGAATTCATGCTGGAAAGCACACTCCAGGTTATTATCCAGGAGAACTTCCCAAGCTTAGCAAGGCAGTCCAAATTTCAAATTCAAGAAATACAGAGAACTCCACAAAGATACTCCTCAAGAAGAGTAACCCCAAGGCACTTAATCGTCAGATTCACCAGGGTTGAAATGAAGGAAAAAATGCTAAGGGCAGCCAGAGAGAAAGGTCAGGTCACCCACAGAGGGAAGCCAATCAGACTCACAGCAGATCTCTCGGCAGAAACCCTACAAGCCAGAAGAGAGTGGGGGCCAATATTCAACATCCTTAAAGAAAAGAACTTTCAACACAGAATCTCGTATCCAGCCAAACTAAGCTTCATAAGTGAGGGAGAAATAAAATCCTTTATGGACAAGTAATTATTGAGAGATTTTGTCACCACCAGACCTGCCCTACAAGAGCTCCTGAAAGAAACACTAAGCACGGAAAGGAACAAGTACCAGGATATAGGCCAAAGGAACAGAACAGAGGCCTCAGAGGCAATGCCACATATCTACAACCATCTGATCTTTGACAAACTGGAGAAAAACAAGCAATGGGGAAAGGATTCTCTGTTTAATGGTGTTGGGAAAACTGGCTAGCTATGTGCAGAAAGCAGAAACTGGACCCCTTCCTGACACCTTACACTAAAATTAACTCCAGATGGATTAAAGACTTAAACATAACACCTAACACCATAAAAACCTTAAAAGAAAACCTAGACAAAACCATTCAGGACATAGGCATAGGCACAGACTTCATGACTAAAACACGAAAATCATTGGCAACAAAAGCCAAAATAGACAAATGGCATCTAAGTAAACTCCAGAGCTTCTGCACAGCAAAAGCAACAATCATTAGAGTGAACCAGCAACCAACAGAATGGGAAAAAAATTTTTGCAATCTACCCATATGACAAAGGACTTATATCCAAAATCCACAGAAAACTGAAACAGATTTAGAAGAAAAAAACAAACAAACCCATTCAAAACTGGACAAAGGATATGAACAGACACTTTTCAAAAGAATATATATATGAGGCCAACAAACACACGAAAAAATGTTCATCATCAATGGTCATTAGAAATGTATTCTAGAAGTGTTTTCTTTAGGGATGAAATTCAGAAGGAAGCAGTAGAAGTGCAGATATCAGAAGAGGCAAATGAAGAGGGAATTGCACTAAGAAAAAGAACCAAGTACTGGCTTTTCTACTGATGTCACCAGAATGCTGAGAACTAGTATTTTCATATCACCTTATATTTTTCTCCATGATATTATACAAAAGATGTCAGTTTCTCCAAATTCTTGGTCTGCAAACTACGCTTGTGTTCAAAACTTGAAACTGTTAAAACATGGCTGTGTTATAATTCCAAGACAAAAGAGGGTATGTGTCTGACAGCAGGTTTTAGTTGCTAGTACCATATTTAAGCTTCAAAATGTATCCAGAGGAACTTATCAAGGACTTGAATATAAATCAAGTTTTTCCACAGGAAGCAGATAAGAAAGACAGTACTTTTCCTCACACATGATCTTTAGGTTTTGACAACTGTGGAAAAATGTTGGCACGGGTACGCATCAGTCTAGATTATCTTCCCTGACCCCTTGTACATAGCTGCTGTAGTTACCAATAAGTTAGGTAGGATCTTGGTAGATTTGTTCTTTCATATTTGAACACCAGAAGTATGAATCAAATCATAGTAAACCTTACAACTCTAAAATGATTCTTTTGGAAAGGGTACCACCAGAGAGCTTTTCAAAGTTACATTCCTTTTACTTGTTAGTAATCTTAATTGTTAGAATTGATATTAGCTTCTTGAAATTCTCACATTATAAATTTCTGCAACACCACTTCCTCTACTCCTCTCCTACATTTCTCTAGCTACTGCTCATTCTCCCTTACCCCACGCCCTTTTCCTTTGGAAAATGTTGCTATGCCTAGGGTTCTGTCACTGGCTTTCTTGTCATTATACAACTTCAGCTCATTGAGATCTATGAGTTTGCTTAATAATTATAACAGGATCATTCTATGTTGGCAACTCCCACCTCAGAGTTTCATCTCTAGCTAGAAATACCTATTATCCAATTACCTACAAAAAATATCCTCTACGATTGTTCCATTAAACTCACATTTGTCTTCCCTCTTCCCTATGCTTCTCTATTCACCTGAAATTCCCTGTTCCTCTAATATAGTATAAATGTTAGTGCACAAATTCAACACTTATAATCTAAGATTTCTCTCTGCCATCTAACATTTTACTTTCAACAATCACTAAACCATATTAACTGTGCCTCTTTTCTGCCTTGGATTTATATTTCCACTGCCACAAGATAAATATGTTTATATTTTCTAGTTAAACATGGCCTCTAAACTGATGTCTTTCACAAGGGAAAAAAAAAACCCTACCAATTATTAATATTTTCTAAATAAAAAAAACTAAGAAAAAACTGAAAAGAGAATAAGGGCAAGAAAAAATGAACATTTTAAAGTGAATAAACTGAGCTTCTTATGATTATTTCACCTTGGGTTGGGTGAAAACCTCACAGTAGATTAAGCTAGTGCAAAGACCAGTGATAAGGAAACTACAGCTTTGACTATAGCCAAAGTTTCCTTTGTCTCCCAGTCTATGTGGTTACTTTTCACGACCTTCTAAGTGAGGGGTCAGCAACCTACAGATCGTAGGCCAAATCCAGCCTGTCATATGGTTTTGTACATAAACTTTTTTTGGGAGCACAGTCTATCTATGCCTGCTTTCACACTTCAGTGGCAGTGTTTAGTAGCTATGACAGAGACTACATGGCCTAAAATATTACCTATCTGGTCCTTTACAGAAAAAGCTTGCCAATCCTTGCTTTATATCATAACCAGAATGCCCTAATTTTCAAATCTTGTGACTTCCCTTCTGAAAAATTTCTAGTGAATCCCTGCAGCAAACATTGCTGGTTCCCTATCAAGTAGCCATTCCTTATTTTTTTCTTGCTGGAGAAATGCAAGTTTACCTGGATATTCATCATCCAATATCCCTCCAAGCTCCAAAAAGAGAAATAATTATTCTAAGTAAATCAAAATGATTACATTTGCTTTTCCAGTGCCGGGTTTAGGAATGAGCAGCTGGAGTAATCAAGCCAATAAAATGTCACAGGAAGTCCAATGCAAAGCTCCTGACTTTTCTTCCTTTTCTAAAAGGAACACTTGAAAAAAAGTAACCCTTCCAGCCTTTAGATACTCTCTTGTGAGAACACGATGTCTGAAGCTATTGCTAAGTAGCCAACCATGAAAGGAGATATGAACAAAACACTGCCAACAGCACAGCTGAAAGAGACAAGTGAGATAGGATGGTATCGCTGAACCACCAAAACAACTTTGGCTCCCATTGTTTTAGCTATTGTTAGTTAGATCATCTAATGTTTGCAGTCACAAGCACTCTATCTAAGAATTTTTCCATGGACTACGGATAAGATCTATTCATTTCAATATGTTTAAAAAGTCTTTCCTAAGCTTAACTTAGCTAGGTATTCAAATCATTCCCAACCACTCTCATATTATACTAACTGTACTAACTGCTCATAAACTCTGTGAAGTTCCCTCAAGCATCTTACCTTTAGTATTTGTACTTGCTTTTCCTTTTGGGAAATGTGCAATCTTCTTAGCTGTTCCTTCTGCCAAACATATAATCTTGTTAGATATTCCTTTCGTCAACTATCATTCTTTGGCTTCTTTACCTGGCAAATATCTACTCACTCTGCATGCTTACCTTAATCCTACCCATGTTTTATTATAATAATATTTTAGCTAATGGTAACAGAGTGTCTTCTTCTAACAAAATTGATGTTATGACAATTAACTAGCAGATGGAACAAATCTCATTCTAACAAAATAAATATATCTCATTTGATTTCCACTTGGGGGGAATTAAGTCAATACTAGCGAGACCTTGTTGGTATAAGAATATGTAATATGACCTGTGCTTCTCAATAAGGAATTTATTTTCTGGCTTCACATAGTAGGTATCTTTAAAAAATAATATCCTATAGGTATTGGTACAATTCTTATGGATGTTTCTTCATGGTACCAGAAAAGCCTCATTGAAATTCTGGTTTTGAAGACAGTTACTTTTTCAGTGACACAAATCACTGTCAGAGTTGACCTCTGAATAACAAAGGTTTGAACTGCAGGGGCCAATTATCTGCAGATTTTCTGCTGTCCCTGCCACCTGAGACAGCAAGATCAATCTCCATCTACTTCTTCCTCCTCCTCAGTCAGGCCAACTTGAAGACTCTGAGGATGAAAAGCTTTACGATGATCCACTTTTCACTGAATGAAAATATATTCTTTCTTCAGTATGATTTTCTTTATAAGTTTCTTTTTCTCTAGTTTATTGTATTAACAATACAGTATATAACACATATAACAATAATTAACATATAACAAATGTCTTAATTGATTTTATAATCAATAAGGCTTCCAGTCAATGATAAGCCATGAGTAGTTAAGTTATAGGGGGAGTCTAAAGTTATACACAGATTTCAAAGTGAATAGGTGACTGGTACCCCTAAATCCCACACTGCTCAAAGATCAGCTGTAATATGTATTTACTAAATACAAAGCACTTATTTTACAGATTAGAATATCCAATTTTACAAGTCTAATTCGTCAAAGTGACTATAAAGAAAACATACTACATTCTAACTTAAAAATCTTTTTTCTTGTTTACACAAAAATATCATCTAGAATTTTAGAAAATACAATAATGAATTGTTTTTTCAGATAATATGGCTTGAGATTATAAATTGCCTACAAGTAACCTTTTAAATAATTCTGAAATCTAGATTACCAAGAAAGTAATTTAAAAATATACATTCAATTTACACAGTGGTTTTTTTAAACTGCTGTTTTGTGATCACTTCCTTCCTATTACTTTTTTATCTATGATAGGACCATCAAGAGGAATGCACTGTCAGAAGTCTTACCTTGATTGCTATTTTGAAGACTTTTATGTTTCTTGTTTGCTTTATATTCAGAAATTAGTCTGCGAATGCTATGTATAAAAATGTAGTAAATACAATTACTATTTTAATGCTGATATGAAAAACATTTACCAGATACATTAAATTCTGAGAGTATATCAAACAATATCAGAACTTTATCCCATATACTTTTAGTTTTTAAGCTCTATAAAATTCTTATTAACCTTCTAATTAAAGAAGAAAAAAGTAAAGTACTCATGAAGTGAAGGCAGTAAAACTCAGTAAATTAACATGTAAGGTTGACATAATGGAAAACGATCTGACTCATAAGTCCTAGCTCTGTAACCAAGATGTATTTGTTCTTGGACAAGTTCCTCCTCTTAGGCTCAATATCTTCTTCTAAAGAATGAAGGTTTTGCTACCTTATTCACTAGGTTGTTATAAATGTTTAATGAAATAACATTTTAATGTGCTCAGAGAAACAGTGAAGCAATGGAATAATTTAATTCTTGAACTTTGTTGTTGAACTTATTTTGGAATTCCAAATGAAACCCAATGTGTAGTTTCCCATATGTCTTAATATTAAAATGTTGTGATCTTTTGAAAATGTTGTTAAGCCTTAATTTTGCTTATTAGTTGTTCTATTATTTTTGGCTTATGATTCAGGACATCTCAATTGTTTCACAGTTTGTGTTTGTAATTAAATTTATTATAAATAGATTGTCTCATTAGAATAGATAACATGACTCTAACTCTGAACCAGCGGATCTTTGTTAGGATGATGCTTTCTCTCCATGGTCATCCCAAACTGACATAGAAGACAAAAACCCTAATTTTTTAAAGTTTCATGAAGGAGATGTAAGTGGGTCTTTTCTCATTTCTGAGATACATACTACCAATATATTTGCACGCAACGCACCATGGGTTACTCAGCTCCATTCTCATTTCATAAATTACCTTATACCAATGTTTTTGTAATAAAAATGCGTAATTTCACTATTGGCTAGCACCTGTTTTGCTCTGACTCACACTGTTTTCTGGAAACTTGTCAGCAAACTAGTCAGCTTACCTTTTTGTAACTGTGTGAAATATAGAATGTTTCACAGATTAGTGTGGCATGCTTATGTAGGGGCCATGCTAACTTTCTCTATATTGTTCCAGTTTTAGTATACGTGCTGCTGAAGCAAGCACAAAGCCCTACTTTTATAAATGGATACTGATGAATCATGGATGAAGCTTGGCTCTGTTCAGTTCAACTCACCTACCTGAGACTCAAGTAATTCTGATGAATGGCTTCCTATAAGGTAGAATTTGAAGAAATTTTAAAAACTTGATAAAGAGAAGCAAGTAGCTTGGGAGATTTTTATTATCGAAAACAGATTCTTTTGAGGGGCCAGCCACAAGTTGGTGCTCTGGGAAAGGATAACTTTATGGGACCTTCCACTATCTAAGAAAAGCTGCTACATATGATATAAAGGGGCTTGGGGTAAAAATCTGGTAGCAAAGAAGAAAAGTCTTTGATATCTTTCTGCAACACTATCTGAACATCTCTAACAGCTTAGAACTATCCCAACTAATATTTGCTGGAAAGAAGACAAACAAGGGACTCAAAGAATAACTTACCATCAATATCTAGGATTCCAGGCTAAGATATGGGCTCCACATGAAGTTTTGAGTATGGAAGGAAGGGTCAATTTGCTCACTATGTGTGTGGGTAAAGCTAGGATGTCTAGAAGCCAGAGCAGGGTACTGGTGCTTTGGAAACAATGGCTGAGAATATAAGCATATTTATGTGAACTACAAGTTGTGACTTGGAAGACTATGTATAGACTACTATAAAGAATGAGGGATCTAAATCAGAAGGGGCATTCTTGCGGCAAAAGTCAATTTTTACCAGAATACAGTAGTTTCAATGGCAAAAACCAGTTAACAGAATCCATGGAAACAACAGAATAATTAGAATATCCTCCCCTTTCCACTCTTATTGACTTGTAAAACATGATTGTCTTCTTTGGACTTAGGGGACCTCTTAGGTTCTGGAAAAATGCAAGGTAGAGGGTATATAAGACAGTTCCCAGGAGATAGTCCAACATTTTCTGATAAACTGGACATTTCAAGACTCAAATAATTAATTGTAAAAATCAAAGATGTGAAACTATTTTATTCCATGCACAGGGGTTATACTTGGAATGAAATGGAAAACATTAGGATCCCTAAGCATAAAAGTCTTTAAGAGTCTTGAGTTAAAGAATCCTGCACTCATTGCTACTTCTAACTAGTCTAGTCTTATGCTTGATTTCTGGCTGATGAAGTGGACTAACTCACTGCCACTCCAAACCTATCTGAACCAAACTATGAAATCTCACCTGATGTATAAGATGCAATGGTTACAATTATTTTAAGCCTCAATTTATTGTTCAGTGGCCTTTTAAACACTTACTCTCGAAAGTTATAAGCAACAGCATAGTCTTCTGCTGTCCATCCAGATATATCTTGGAAAACAACATCAACATTGTGCTGAAGAAGCTGGTAGACTACATTTGTTGATCCATTACGAGCAGCAAGTATGAGGGCTGATCTAAAATAACAGAGAGATAATTTCATGTTTAGGAACTTTAGCAAAGTTATATTAAAAACTATAATTATATACTTTACCAATTTAATATCTTGTCTGACCTTGTAGAATTAACCAATTATATCTACTAATAAACACAAGCATCTTGGGTGTTCAAGGGCTCATGTTTGTAAATTGCAACCAAAGCTAAAAGGAAGGGACAACAAGAAAGCGTCTTGTGCCACTGGGATATGACACAGAAGAAGTTGCTAAAATAAAGTCCTTTGATGAGCAGGATACTATGTTCAGGTCACTTACCTAAAGTAGCTAAGCATTTAATTGATGAATTAACCATTTCTTCCCTAGTCTGATATATTGTAATTCAAAATCAGCTTGGGGTAAGAGCTATCTGTAGGTTTAAAACAATAAAAATAATGCTAATAATAGCCACAATAGTTTCAGTTAATAATACTGATAATCATGTGCGAGGCATTCAATTAAATACTATATATATATATATATATATATATATATATATATATATACACACATATACACATTACTCATAAACAACCACCATTGAAGAGATACTATTTTCTCTTTTTCACACAGAAAAACATACTTGGTGATAAGTAATGCTCCCAAGGTCACACACCTAACAAGTAGAAAAGCAATGAATTAAACCCAGTCTTGGGTGAATCTAAAGCTTATCTTTTTTTTCCCTCATTGTCAGCCACCCATGGCTTGCATTCATGAAAAGTTAAGTTTATCCATTTAAAGCTATCTTTTTGTCCTCTGCCCATACTAATTTAAAATAACATAAAAATACACTAGAAGTAAAAAGAAGAAAAAAGCCCAATGAACCCACAGTATCTAGCAATAGCAATTAACAGTCACTTAGGAATAACCTAACATTAAGATTCTTAAGAGAAAGCAAGCTAAAGCAAAGTCATCCAAAAGACAAAATGATTTTCAACTCTAATTTATCTTTAACACAGTATTTTTAAAGAAAAAGTATGTAAGAAGCAAAGGTTAAAACTACTATAAGAGAGTTAAGAAATTTCAATATTGAGTCAAAGTAAACTAAAAGTTGAAGTCTACACTTTTAAAACAAATAAAACCAATATGAAATCCCTTTAGTTAATGTAAGATCGTATGACTCAAAATATCACCTCATCTGTCAACAGTCAACATAAGAGAAGATGAATCCTATAATACAGATTTTTTGTTGCCCAGTGTAAATAATTGTTTACCTGATGATTTGTGTTGATATTTCACTCTCTATCCCAATAATAATAAGTTAATCTTATCAATTTAATATTTCTGACAAGTGACTGTTACCACTCTAGAACAACACTCAAGTTTAAAAATGAACAAAAAAAGAACTATTGTACCTTTCAAAATTATCTACTGCAGTTAAATCTGGTTTTTTCTTCAACAAAAATGCCACCATTCGCTCTTTTTTCCTATTTATGGCAAGTAAAAGTGACGTAAGTTCACCCTGTAAAGCAGCAAAAACAATTTATAATTCACAAAATTACATATTTCTCAACTGAACTGAAAACCTTATTTAAGATCCTATGAACTTAAACATATGAAGTAGAAAGGAAATAAAAAGCAACTGGGGCCGGACGTGGTGGCTCAAGCCTGTAATACCAGCACTTTGGGAGGCCAAGGCGGGTGGATCACGAGGTCGAGAGATCGAGACCATCCTGGTCAACATGGTGAAACCCCGTCTCTACTAAAAAAAAAAAAAAAAAAAAAAAAAAATACAAAAAATGAGCTGGGCATGGTGGCACGTGCCTGTAATCCCAGCTACTCAGGAGGCTGAGGCAGGAGAATTGCTTGAACCCAGGAGGCGGAGGTTGTAGTGAGCCGAGATCGCGCCATTGCACTCCAGCCTGGGTAACAAGAGCAAAACTCCGTCTCAAAAAAAAAAAAAAAAAAAGCAATCACTTCCTTCCTTCTCACTCACTCCACTGTGCTTACCCACATACTGTTCCTTTCCTTTCAGATACCCCACCTAGGGTGTCTGGAAGGCACAGTAGCAGACTGGAGCACATATGCCTCACATAAAGGGGTAACCTCTGCATAGCATACTGAACAGTGATATGAGCTCAAGGGAATTCAGATGTGATCCTTTAAGAGAAGCCTGAAATCTACATCTGTGTATGAGTTGCCTAAATTTTACATGTTGACACATCTTATGGAGGTAAACTAAACTAAATCTATGGGGCACATTTAGACTACAGATCTTATGTTTTCATATTTGCTATGAATATATTTTTAAATAGTTGTATATAAAGCAAATATTTGCATGTAAAATATTTCCTTTTAGTTTCAGATGTTTTAACAAAAAAGTCAGGCCCCAAAATGCAATAAAAATTGCCACTAAGATTCATAATTGCCACTTCAAGAACTTTTCCAACATTCATTCATTTACATTCTATTTGTATATAACTTTCCCAGCTCATTTAAAAAATGGATAATTAGTTCATAGGACTGCTGTAAGTAAGTTATTGAAAGAACACCTATGTGTATTCTTACTAACCTCATGGTCTTCAGTGTTTAAAACTGCCTTCCTAACCATGCCAAAACTCTACAAATCTAATTACATAATGAGATAGTCCATAATACAGCTTAAACTTTTAAAAAAGGTCAAAAATGTGCTACTATTCTAACGGGAAAACCTGCTTACAACAATGATTTCTTGACCTACTCACCTGAATTAGCAACTAAGAGACACAAAACCCTGAAAGGGTCAGACTCTGCTTAATAAAAACTATCCCAAAGACAAAAACCAAATGATTATCTCAATTGATGCAGAGAAGGCCTTTGACAAAATTCAACAGCCCTTTATGCTAAAAACCCTCAATAAACTAGGTATTGACAGAATGTAACTCAAAATAATAAAAGCTATTTATGACAAACCCATAGTCAATACCATATGGAATGGGCAAAAACTGGAAGCATTCCCTTTGAAATCTGGCACTAGACAAGGATGCCCTCTCGCACCACTCCTATTCAATATAATAGTGGAAGTTCTAGCCAGAGCAATCAAGCAAAAAAAAAAAGAAATAAAGAGAATTCAAATAGGAAAGGAGGAAGTCAAATTATCTCTATTTGCAGACAACATGATTGTATATCTAGAAGACCCCATCATCTCAGCCCAAAATCTCCTGAAACTGATAAACAACTTCAGCAAAGCCTCAGGATACAAAATCAATGTGCAAAAATCACAAGCATTCCTATACACCAAAAACAAACTTAAAGAGAGCCAAAACAAGAATGAACTGCCATTCACAATTGCTACAAAGAGAATAAAATATCTAGGAATACAACTAACAAGGAGTGTAAAGGACCTCTTCAAGGAAAACTAAGGCCACTGCTCAACGAAATGAGAGGACACAAACAGATGGAGAAACATTCCATGTTCAGGGTTAGAAAGAATTAATTTCGTGAAAATGGCCATACTGCCCAAAGTAATTTACAGATTCAATGCTATCCTCATCAAGCTACCAATGACCTTCTTCACAGAACTGGAAAAATACACTTTAAACTTCATATGGAACCAAAAGAGAGCCCACATAGCCAAGTCAGTTCTAAGCAAAAGAACAAAGCAGGAGGCATCACACTACCGGACTTCAAACTACACTATAAGGCTACAGTAATCAAAACAGTACTGGTACCAAAAAAGAGAGATAGAACAATGGAACAGAACAGAGGCCTTAGAGGAAACACAACACATCTACAACCATCTGATCTTTGATAAACCTGACAAAAACAAGCAACGGGGAAAGGAATCCCTGTTTAATAAATGGTATTGGGAAAACTGGCTAGCCATGTGCAGAAAGCAGAAACTGGACCCCTTCCTGACACCTTACACTAAAATTAACTCCAGATAGATTAAAGACTTAAATATAAGACCTGACACCATAAAAACCCTAGAAGAGAATCTAGGCAAAACCATTCAGGACACAGGCATAGGCAAAGACTTCATGACCAAAACACCAAAAGCATAGGCAACAAAAGCCAAAATAGACAAATGGGACCTAGTGAAACTCTACAGCTTCTGCACAGCAAAAGAAACAGTCATCAGAGTGAATTCAGCAACCAACGGAATGGGAAAAAGTTTTTGCAGTCCACCCATCTGACCAAGGGCTGATCCAGAATTTACAAAGAACTAAAACAGATGTAAAAGAAAAAAAACAAACAAGTCCATTCAAAAGTGGGCAAATGACATGAACAGACACTTTACAAAAGAAGACATACATGAGGCCAACAAACATATGAAAAAATGCTCATCATCACTGGCCATTAGAGAAATGCAAATCAAAAATACATTGAGGTACCATCTCATGCCAGTTAGAATGGCGATCATTAAAATATCTGGAGACAATAGATACTGGAGAGGATGTGGAGAAATAAGAACACTTTTACAGTGTTGGTGGGAGTGTAAATTAGTTCAACCATTGTGGAATGTGGCGACTCCTCAAGGACCTAGACATAGAAATTCCATCTGACCCAGCAATCCCATTACTGGGTGTATATTCAAAGGATTATAAATTGTTCTACTATAAGGACACATGCACATGAATGTTCATGGCAGCACAGTTCACAATAGCAAAGATTTGGAACCAACCCAAATGCCCATCAATGATAGACTGGACAGGGAAAATGTGGCACATATATACCATGGAATATTATGCAGCCATCAAAAATGATGAGTTCATGTCCTTTGCAGGGACATGGATGAACCTGGAAACCATCATTCTCAGCAAACTGATACAAGAGCAGAAAATCAAACACCACATTCTCACTCATAGGCGGGTGTTGAACAATGAGAACACATGGACACAGGGAGGGGAGCATCACACACTGGGGTCTGTCGGGTGTAAATAGGAGAGGGACGGTGGAGGGTGGGGAGTTGGGGAGAGATAGTATGGGTAGAAACGCCAGATATAGGTAAAGGGGAGGAAGGCAGCAAATCATGCTGCGACGTGTGTACCTATGCAACAATCTTGCATGTTCTTCACATGTATCCCCAAACCTAAAATGCAATAAAAAAATTTAAAAAAAAGTATTCCAAAGCAATTTCTAAAGACCGTCTGAATGGCAGTGAACATTCAATGGTGTCAAGGAAAATGTATTATTCTGTAAGCTATTAAGATGTTACAAATAATATTCAATTGAACTTCCCACTCACAGAGGTTGAGAAAGATAAGTCAGGCTAATATTGAAAGAAGGAATTTAAAGGAAGTATTTATAGTGCCTATCAAACTCCAAACTCTTTTGAAATTTCTTATGTTTTCGAGATAGGGAAATTTCTGTTACACTTATCTGTTCAGTTGGTTCTGATCCAGAAGTGTATCAGAAAATCAAGTAATTTTGTGGTAGTAGCTGCTGCTGTCAGACAGAGTCTCACTCTATTAACCTGGCTAGACTCCAACTTCCGGGCTTAAGCAATCCTCCCACTTCAGCCTTCCAAGTAGGTGGGACTACAGCCATGCATCACAAGGCCTGGCTTCAAGGAAATATTCTTAAACATCCATTTTGAGGCTTTAATAGATTTACTGATCAAAATCTTCAGGAGAGAGTTGAGACTTGTAGATTTCGTTTTACTGTCCCCAGGTAACTGTGATGCACAATTCTAGCTGAGAACCAGTGCAGCAGACATTCACTTCAGTCTCACCTCTCACCCACATGACTAATTCCCTTTATCATTTAGGGATTTGGCCAAAAAGAAGAAAGAGTAAGAGACAGTCATTCACTGCACACTCCATTCAATGTTCCTGCCTAGGGTGAAACAGCGACTAGTAAACTCAAAATCCAAATTTATTTTGCTACTTGTAACTCCTCATCTCCCATCTTCCATCAAGATATTGTAGACTTGAGAGTGTAATTTAGATGCTTATTGAAGTGACTCTTTCTGCCAGAATAGAATAATGTCCACTAATTACATGTTCTTCCCTCTGCTGAACTGCTTCCCATTTCATCAGCACTCATTTATGCCAATCTGGTTTCCTCAGAGTCCTACCAAAATTGATCTCGAGGCAATTTTACAACTCACTCTCCCAAACTAAGACTTATTATTCCCCAAACTGAAAAGAACCTTGTCTAGACATATACACTGGAAGCAAACAAAAAAGACAAAACTCTCTTCTCAGTATTTGTCCTCATTATCTAATGTCCAAATCAGCACGCATATTTCTGATGGCTGTTCATTACCCTGTCCAACCTTTCCATCTTGTGCCCTTGAACAAAAGCCATCAATTGCTCTCACATAAATTATTTTTTGGGGGAAAAACTGTCAACAGTAGCAAGGATTATATTGATTGTAAAATACTTTAATTTTCTTTGAGATTTAAGGGCAAATTTTACTTTTCTGTGTCACATTATGCTAATCAGAGGGAAGAAAAACTTGAGTGGAAAAATGTTTTAAAGTATTACCTTTCACAAATTCTGTGTTTTCACAGATATTTATAAGTGCATAAATAAAAGCTGCATCCTCTAGTGCTTTAAAAGCTTACATATTTATAGTAAAATCTTAGATAATTACATTATTTAAAAATATCTTCACTTAGGGAGTATGTGAGCTTCCAAATATAGAAAACTGACCCTTACATATGTTAATGGTAAAACAAATACACATAAAATACTTTGAAAAGAACACCGGTTGATCTATACCTGGCTTCTTGCTTCAATATCTGCACCATATGCAAGCAGTTTTCCTGCCATTGATATATTCTCATTGTTAATGGCATAGTGCAGGGCAGTGTTGCTGTACATGTCTGTAATATTTGGATCAGCACCAAGTTCCAGGAGGATGGATGCACAAACGTCTTTCTGATATTGTACAGCCTGTCAATATTAGACCAAAAAATAGATTGTAAATTCTAGGAAATCTTTCACATGATTCAGCAACTAGTTATATTCCAATGAGATTAATTCATTTTATTCCGTGATTTTAAATTAAATCCATTTCATGCTGAAAAAGCTGACTACCATATACCTTGATCAGAGCTGTCCTGTTTTCATTGTCAGTGAGGTTAAGCTGGCATTTTCTGGCCACCAAGTGAGTTACCAATCCTGAATGGCCATGGGCACATGCCCAATGTAGAGCAGTCCTATTAGAGTGAGAGGACATTTTAGGCAATTGTAGTGCACTATCGCAAAACAAACAATGATGCATTTAATTGTAAACATCAAATAGTATGTTATCCCTCTGCCTTAAAAACTAACAGTTACTTTTCTGTGAAGAAACTTCAGTCTTTCTTAGCACTTATTACCTACCACATTTGATGAAAGAGCAGGTTGCTTAATAGAAAGGGCTTAGCCTTTGGATTCAGTTCAATTTGGGCTTGATTCCTACTTTAAGCTCTGTCACTCATTCACTGCTGGTGAGCCCTTATGAGCCTCAATTTCCTCATTAGTGAAATACAAATGAGAATAGTAGCTATCTCCCAGTGTGATGCTTACATGAGAATCTATACAAAGCATTTACAACAGTTCTCAGCACAAATAACAGCTCAATCATCGTTAAGCATTACTACTTACAAAAACATTTTAATTAAGTAAAAAATTACAATTATACCTACTTTGAAATATGTTTTAAGGATTAGAGGTATCATTGTATTTCAACTAAGAAGACCATTTTGTCACATTTTAATATTTCTGACTTTGGAATCCTGCTTATAATTCATGATTTATTGAGACTAACATTGGCAGCATTTCATTTATTTATTTTTTAGATGGTGTTTTGCTCTTGTTGCCCAAGCTGGAGTGCAATGGCATGATCTCAGCTCACTGCAACGTCTCACTGCAACCTCTGACTCCTGTGTTCAAGCAATTCTCCTGCCTCAGTCTCCTGAGTAGCTGGGAATACAGGGGCATGCCACCATGCCTGGGTAATTTTTTGTATTTTCAGTAGAGATGAGGTTTCACTATGTTAGCCAGGCTGGTCTCGAATTCCTGACCTCTGGTGATCCTCCCTCGTTAGCCTCCCAAAGTGCTGGGATTACAAGTGTGAGCCACCACGCCCAGCCTATTGGCAGTATTTTAAACATTTTCTTACTGATACATAAAATAATGGGGCATCCCATAATTCACAGTGCCTTACACTGAGATATGGTATATAGAACAGGCAGCTCTACTCATATGATTGATATCTAAATATATTTTCATTCTTAGAAGTATGACAGAAAAAGAGGGCTGAAATGAAAATAACAACACATTTTTAAAACAAAGTAATTCTTACTTTTTCAGAAAACTTAAAGCCAAAGAAAACTCAGGATTCAAATTAATAAGCACACCTACTTTGTTAGTACTTAGATTTATAGAATGTATTGAATCAAGTATTTCCAAAAATTAATAGTAGTATTTAACACTGTTGGTATTTAAACTTCTCTGAGCTAAATCTAAATTTTCAGAAGGGTATTTAAAGGTTATCTTTTACAAATACTTTCTACCTTCAGAAATACTTTCATTTGAAAAAAGGGAATAAAAGCTTCAATTGAGATTAAACCCTAATAGTCCAATTTTAAATCTCTTAGCTTGCTCAGGCTGGGCAGATAAATGAAATTTTTAAGGATGGAAGGGGGTCCTGAAAGATGGAAGAATGTGTCTGCTACATAAAAGGTATTTGGCTTATGTTGAAGAAATAACTGGATTGAAAGAATGAACACACAGAGCAGAGGAGTTCATTGTTATCATTTGCATATATGTAATAAACCTGTATATAATAAAAATTATCTATACAATAAAACGTATGCAGAAAAACCTACAAGCACACATAATAACGTCCCCTTAATAAGGAACAGATCCAAGATGGCCGATTAGGAGCAGCTCAGAATTGCAGCTTCCAGTGAAAGTGCAGAGGGTGAGTGGATGCCACATTTCCAGACGTATTTTTATTGCCCATAGACCAGGAGATTGCCAAGCAGAGGAGCCCCACGAGTTGCCAGTGCAGCTGTTTTGGCCAGTGCTATAGCCCTCCACACAAAATATAAGGTCCAGGCACCGTTTTAGCTGGCAATTGGAATTTCTGGGAAATAGAGTCACCCACTCGATGGATAAAAAAAAGAGGACTGAAGCAGGGAGCCAGGCCAGGATATTCCCAGGCAAAAAAGCACCATGAATCTCAGGGTGGCTGTTTCAGCCAGTGTGGTGGGTCACCACATGGGAAATCACACAGATCCTGGAGCCTTTTCAACAGGAGACTAGAACACCTGGGAGATGGAGTTGCCCATTCAACTGAAAGAAAAAAAAGAAAAAAAAAAGGGCTCTGAGGGAGGGAGCCAGGTGAGCTGGCTTGGCTGGTCCCACTCCCACAAAAAACAGCAATCTGAAACACTCTAAATGAGAGTTTCACAGCAAGCACAGCTGAACCTGGGATGGTCCAACTCAGTGGGGGAGGGGTGTCTGCCATTACTGAGGTAGTCCACCACAACAGAGGTAGTCTGCCATTGCAGAGGCAGCCCACCATTACAGAGACAGTCTGCCATTATAGAGGTGGGCAACCACTGATTAGGCAGGACCGTATAAACAGGACTGCAGGGAAGTTCACATGGCAGCTGGGTGGAGCCCACAGCAGCTCAACAAAGCCTCTGCAGCAGACAGTGACGAGGCTGCCTCCTCACTGGGCAGGGCAGCCCTGAAAAAGAGGCAGCAGCACAACAGAAACTCATAAAAAAAAGCCCTAACTCCCTGGGACAGAGCACCTGGGGAAAAGAAAACAGGGGTTTATGAGTTCCACTGCAGCAGACTTAAACGTACCTGCCCAGCAGCCCTGAATGAAAAACGGAGCTCATAGCTCAGCACCTGAGCTCCGATAAAGGACAGACTGTCTTCTTGAGCAGCTACCTGACCCCCGTATATTGAAAGAGTCACCTCATAAAGGAGAGATCAGAATGACATCTGACAGGTATCTTTCTGGGACAAAGATAGCAGAAGAAGAAACTGACAGCAACCCTTACTGTTCTGCAGCTGCTGCAGGTGATCCCCAGGCAAGCAAGGCCTGGAGTGGACGTCAGTAGTGCTACAGCTGAGGGGCCAGACTGTTAGAAGGAAAACTAAGAAACAGAAAGAAATAACTTCATCATCAACAAACTGGACGTCCACTCAGAGACCCAATCTGAAAGTCAACAACTACAAAGACGACAAGTGGATAAATCCACAAAGATGGGAAGAAACCAGTGCAAAAAGGATGAAAACACCCAAAACCAGAATGCCTCTCCTCCTACAAGGGATCACAACCCCTCACCAGTGACGGAACAAGGCTGGATGGAGAATGAGTGTGATGAATTGACAGAATCAGGCTTCAGAAGGTGGGTAATAAGAAACTTCTGTGACCTAAAAGAACATGTTCTAACCCAATGCAAGAAACTAAGAACTCTTAAATAAGATTTGATGAAATGCTAACGAGAATGGACAACATACAGAGGAATATAAGTGAATTGATGGAGCTGAAAAACACAACACGAGAACTTGGTGAAGCATACAAAAGTTTCAACAGCCAAACTGACCAAGCAGAAGAAAGGATATCAGAGGTCGGAGATCAACTCACTGAAATAAAATGAGAAGGCAAGATTAGAGAAAAAAGGGTAAAAAGGAATGAACAAAGTCTCCAAGAAATATGGGACTATTTGAAAAGACCTAATCTACGTTTGATAGGTGTACCTGAATGTGACGGAAAGAATGAATTCATGCTGGAAAATACTCTTTAGTATATTATCCAGAAAAACGTCCCCAATCTAGCAAGGCAGGCCAATATTCAAGTCTAGGAAATACAGAGAACACCACAAAGATATTCTTCAAGAAGAGCAACCCCAAGGCACATAATCGTCAGATGCACCAGGGTTGAAATGAAGGAGAAAAATGGTAAGGGCAGTCAGAGAGAAAGGTCGGGTTACCCACGAAGGGAAGCCCATCCGACTCACAGCAGATCTCTCAGCAGAAACCATAAAAGCCAGAAGAGAGTGGGGGCCAATATTCAACATCCTTAAAGAAAAGAACTTTCAACCTACAATTTCATATCCAGCCAAACTAAGCTTCATAAGTGAAGGAAAAATAAAATCCTTTATGAACAAGCAAGTACTCAGAGATTTCATCACCACCAGGCCTGCTTTACAAGAGTTCCTGAAAGAGGCACTAAACATAGAAAGGAACAACCAGTATCAGCCACTCCAAAAACATACCAAATCGTAAAGAACATCAACACAATGAATAAGCTGCATCAACTAATGGGCAAAACAGTCAGCCAGCCTCAAAATGGAACGATCAAATTCACACATAACAATATTAACTCTAAATGTAAATGGGCTAAATGCCCCAATCAAAAGACACAGACTAGCAAATTGGATAAAAAGCCAAAATTTATTGGTGTGCATATCCAGGAAACCCATCTTACATGCAAGGATACATAAAGACTCAAAAGAAAGGGATGGAGGAAGATTTACCAAGCAAATGGAGAGCAAAAAAAAGCAGGAGTTGCAATTCTCGGCACTGATAAAATAGACTTTAAACCACAAAGACCAAAAGAGACAAAGAAGGACATTACATAATGGTAAAAGGATCAATGCAACAAGAAGAGTTAATGATCCTAAATACATACGCACCCTATACAAGAGCACCCAGATACATAAAGCAAGTTTTTAATGACTTACAAAGAGACTTAGACTCCCACACAATAATAGTGGGAGACTTTATCACCCCACTGTCAATATTAGATCAACAAGACAGAAAATTAACAAGGATATCCAGGACTTGAACTTAAATCTGGACCAAGCAAACCTAATAGACATTTACAAAACTCCACCCAAAATCCACAGAATATATATTCTTCTCAGCACCACATCACACCTACTCTAAAACTGACCACATAATTGGAAGTAAATCACACCTCAGCAAATGCAAAAGAACAGAAATCAAAACAAACAGTCTCTCAGACCACAGTGCAATCAAGTTAGAACATGGAATCAAGAAACTAACTGAGAACCATACAGCTTCATGGAAAGTGAACAACTTGCTCTTGAATTTTGACTGGATAAACAATGAAATGAAGGCAGAAATAAAGATGTTCTTTGAAATCAATGAGAATGAAGACACAACATACCAGAATCTGTGGGTCACATTTGTAGCAGTGTCTAGAGGAAAATATACAGCAATAAATGCCTACATGACAAGCAAAGAAAGATCAAAAATAGACACCATATTGTCAAAACTGAAAGAGCTAGAGGAGCAACATCAAAAAAACTCTAAACCTAGCAGAAGACAAGAAATAACTAAGAACAGAGCAGAATTGAAGGAGACAGAGAGAAAAAAAAAAAAGCCCTCCAAAAAATCAATAAATCCAGAAGCTGGTTTTTTGAAAAGATCAACAAAATAGACAGACTACTAGCCAGATTTAAAAAAAAAAAATAGAGAATAATCAAATAGATGCAATAATAAATGATAAAGGGGATATCACCAGAGATTCCACAGAAATACAAAGCATCACCAGAGATTACAAACAACTCTATGCACATAAACTAGTAAACGTCAAAGAAATGGATAAATTCCTGGACACTTGCATCCTCCCAAGCGTAAACCAGGAAGACGTCAAAACCCTGAATAGACCATCAAGAAGGTCTGAAGTTGAGGCAGCAATTAATAGCCTATTAACCAAAAAAAAAGCCCAGATCCAATTGGGTTCAGAGCCGAATTCTACCAGACATACAAAGGGAAGCTGGTACCATTCCTTCTGAAACTATTCCAAACAATCCAAAAAGAGGGAATCCTTCCCAAATCATTTTATGAGACCAGCATCATCCTGATACCAAAACCTGGCATTGACTCAGCAAGAAGAGAAACATAGATGTACAAATCTTCAATAAAATACTGGCAAACTGACTGCAACAGCACATCCAAAAGCTTATCCACCATGATCAAGTAGGCTTCATCCCAGGGATGTAAGGCTGGTTCAATATACACAAATCTACATGTAGTTCACCACATAAACAGAACCAAAGACAAAAACCACATGATTGTCTCAATAGATGCAGAGAAGACCTTTGATAAAATTCAACAGTCCTTTATGCTAAAAACCTTCAATAAACTAGGTATCGATTGAATGTAACTCAAAATGCTAAAAGCTATTTACAACAAACCAACAGCCAATATCATACTGAATCAGCAAAAACTGGAAGTATTCCCTTTGAAATCTGGCACTAGACAAGGATGCCCTCTCGCATCATTCCTATTCAATATAGTATTGGAAGTTCTAGCCAGAGCATTTGAGCAAGAAAAAGAAACAAAGCATATTAAAATAGGATAGGAGGAAGTCAAATTGTCTCTATTTGCAGATGACATGATTGTATGTCCAGAAGACCCCATCATCTCAGCCCAAACTCTCCTGAAACTGATAAACAACTTCAGCAAAATTTCAGGATACAAAATCAATGTGCAAAAATCACAAGCATTCCTATACACCAATAACAGACTTAAAGAGAGGCAAATCGAGAACAAACTGCCATTCACAATTGCTACAAAGGGAATAAAATATCTAGGAATACAACTTCTAACAAAGGATGTAAAGGACCTCTTCAAGGAGAACTACAAACCACTGCTCAGTGAAATAAGAGAGGACACAAACAGATGGAGAAACATTCCATGTTCATGTTCATGGTTAGGAAGAATCAATATTGTGAAAATGGCCATAGTGCCCAAAGTAATTTACAGATTTAATGCTATCCCCATCAAGCTACCAATGACCTTCTTCACAGAACTGGAAAAAAACACCTTAAGCTTCATATGGAGCCAAAAGAGAGCCTGCATACCCAAGTCAATTCTCAGAAAAAAAAAAAAAAAAAAAAAAAAAGCAGAGGCATCACACTACCGGACTTCAAACTATACTACAAGGCTACAGTAATCAAAACAGCATGGTACTGGTACCAAAACAGAGATATAGACTAATGGAACAGAACAGAGTCCTCAGAGGAAACACCACACATCTACAACCATCCAATCTTTGATAAACCTGACAAAAACAAGCAATGGGAAAAGGACTCCCTGTTTAATAAATGGTGTTGGGAAAACTGGCTAGTCATATGCAGAAAGCAGAAACTGGACCCCTTCCTGACACCTTACACTAAAATTAACTCCAGATGGATTAAAGAGTTAAATATAAGACCACACCATAAAAATCCTAGAAGAAAACCTAGGCAAACCATTCAGGACATAAGTGTAGGCAAGGACTTCATGACCAAAACACCAAAAGCATTGGCAACAAAAGCCAAAATAGACAAATGGGACCTAATCAAACTCCACAGCTTCTGCATAGCAAAAGAAACAGTCATAACAGTGAATCGGCAACAAATAGTATGGGAAAAAATTTTTGCAATCTATGCATATGATAAAGGGCTGATATCCAGAATTTACAAAGAACTAAAACAGATGTACAACAAAAAAACAAGCCCATTCAAAAGTGGGTAAACGACATGAACAGGCACTTTACAAAAGAAAACACATGTGAGGCCAACAAATATATGAAAAAATGCTCATCATCACTGGTCATTAGAGAAATGCAAATCAAAACTACAGAGATACCATCTCACACCAGTTAGAATGGCGATCATTAAAAATTCTGGAAACAACAGACGCTGGAGAGGATGTGGAGAAATAGGAACACTTTTATAGTGTTGGTGGGAGTGTAAATTAGTTCAACCATTTTGGAAGACAGTGTGGCGATTCCTCAAGGACGTAGACATAGAAATTCCATTTGACCCAGCAATCTCATTACTGGGTATATATCCAAAGGATTATAAATCGTTCTACTATAAGGACACATGTACACGAATGTTCATGGCAGCACAGTTTACAATAGCAAAGACCTGGAACCAACCCAAATGCCCATTGATGATAGACTGGACAGGGAAAATGTGACGTATATATACCATGGAATACTATGCAGCCACTAAAAAGGATGAGTTTGTGTCCTTTGTAGGGACATGGATGAACCTGGAATGCATCATTCTCAGCAAACTGACACAAGAACAGAAAATCAAACACTGCATGTTCTCACTCATAGGTAGGTGTTGAACAATGAGAACACATGGACACAGGGAGGGGGGCATCACACACTGGGGTCTGTCAGGGGTAAATAGGGGAGGGACAGTGGGGGGTGGGGAGTTAAGGAGAGATAGTATGGGGAGAAATGCCAGATATAGTTGATGGGGAGGAAGGCAGCACATCACACTGCCATGTGTGTACCTATGCAACAATCTTGCACGTTTTTCACATGTACCCACAAACCTAAAATGCAATTAAAAAAAAAGAAAAAGAAAGTGATGTATCTATTTAATTTTGTTAGTTAAATCACTTTAAAATGGTTTATAAAGTGCTCTGTAAGGGGAATGATGAGTGGATCAGAAACCAGCTAAGCGTTGTTTTTGTTTTGCTGCTGATAAAGACGGCTTGGGTGCTCCATCCCCATGGCAAAGTTTCCACAACCCATGTGCTACTGAGCCTGCCAGGGTAGAGAGCCCAGTGCCCTTCATGACAGCACTCACCTCACCCCCACCTTGCATTCCACCCACGTCCTACCCAACTTTATCCCTCACCAGTACTCCCGCTCCATCGAACCCCATCCCACTCAACCCCCCACACTCCCACAAACACCCCATTCATCCTTCAATCCACTCCACTCCACTCCACTTCTGCCCAGTCCCCACCACATCCAATGCCATCACCCACCTTCCACCAGTTCCTCACCCCATTCAACCCTCACGCCACTCCACTCCCGACCAGTCCATCACCAACGCTACCCACACCACCGTCCCCCACCACATCAGACGCCACCCAACTCCACTTCCTACCACAGTCCCCCTCCCAACTCTACTCCCCACAACAATGCCCCACACCCGCCCACCCAACTCCACCCCCAGCCTGTCTTCCACCCCACCCATGCCTTCACCCTGCACCATATCTCCTCTACCCCGAAACCAGGAATGGGGCCTTTTCCTATATCCCCAGGCCTCCCTCCACAGCCCCCAGCCCTGGGTCGTTACCTCTTCTTCTTGTCTCTGTCGTTTATCTCATTCAACCTGAGTAAGAGGATCTCGTCCACCTTCTTCACATCACCAGCGATGGCAGCTTTGTGGATCATGCCCAAATGTTTCTGCCGGATTCGGTACTGGATGTTTGAGAAGCCATCGGTAGCCTGGCGACGATTCTCCCTCCAGCTAGCCACGCGTCTCCTGCAGGCCCCCAGGAACCACCCCCCCACCCCCATCGTGAAGCCAAGGATCTCCCAGGCTGAGGGACTGGCTTCAAGACAACTCAGTTCCCACTCGCTTTCCGCTGCTCTGGAGCAAAGCACCCGCAGGTAACCAGGTCCAGCCGCAACCGCCGCCAGGGACACTCCAGTCTCCAGCCTCTGAAACGAGCACCTAGCCCAGCAGAGCCGTTAGGCACCAGCGCGCATGCGCCGTTAACAACCAGCCCGCGGGCGCATGCGCGGTAACAGGCAGCCGGCGGGCGCATGCGCAGTATCAAATAGCCAACCGGCGGGCTCATGCGTGGTAACAGCCAGTTGGCGGGAGCATGTACCCACCGAGGGCATGCGCACTATCAGCTACCCGGCGGGCGCATGCGTCCCTGAGAGAGGGGGTTGGGGGACGCGTGCGCCCTAACAGCCAGCTGGCAGGCGCATGCGCCCTAACAGTCAGCGCACAAGAGACCACCCCTCTCTCCATCCCCCACCCCCGCTCTGAGCCTCGCTCTCGCGAGTCCCACCTGCACCCGGCAAGGCCCTCGGGCTGGTAAGCAGGCTTCCTGGAGCGCGCTGCCGTCCTGCCCCAGGTCTCCACTGACTGCTCTGCTGGTGCCTGCTGCTGGAACCTGACCCGGTACGCTCAGCAGCTTCTCGGATGACGGCCCCACGGACGGCTTCCCGACTTAGCCCACACCTGAGTCCCTCTTCCTCCTCAGACTATCCAACAGTTGAAGACGAGGATGAAGACCATTATGATGATCAATCTCCACTTAATGAAGAGCAAATATATATATATGTATGTGTATATATATATAAATATATATATATATTTGAGATGGAGTCTTGCCCTGTCACTCAGGCTGGAGTGTACTGGCATGATCTCAGTTCACTGCAATCTCTGCCTTCTGGGTTCAAGCGATTCTCCTGTCTCAGGCTCCTGAGTAAATGGGTCCTGCCTCAGCCTCCTGAGAAGCTGGGATTACAGATGCTTGTTACCATGCCTGGCTAATTTTTGTATTTTTAGTAGAGATAACGTTTCACCATATTTGCCAGGCTGGGCTTGAACTTCTGACCTTGTGATCCGGCTGCCTCAGTCTCCCAAAGTGCTGGGATTACAGGCATGAGCAATTGTGCCTGGCTGAGTGTTGTTGTTTTTTTTTTTTTCTTCCTCTAGCTTACTTTAAAATACAGGTCCTGGTGTGGTGGCTCACACCTGCAATCCCAGCACTTTGGGAGGCAGATGAGGGATAATTGCTTGAGCCCAGGAATTCAAGACCTGCCTGGGCAAAAGAGCGAGACCCCATCTCTACCAATACGAAACAAACAAAAATTAACTGGGCAGGGTGGTGGGTACCTATAGTCCCAGCTACTTGGGAGGCTGAGGTGGGCGGCTCATCTGAGCCTAGGAAGTCGAGGCTGCAGTGAGATATGAATGTGCCACTGTACTCCATCCAGCCTGGGCAACAGAGCCAGACCCTGTCAACAATAATAATAATACAGGATGTAATACATATAAAATATGTGTTAACTGTTTATGTTACCAGTAAGTGTTCCAACCAAAACTTAAGTTTGATGGAGTCAGATATTATACTCAGATTTTTGACTGCACAGGAGGGTCAGCAACTCTAACCCCGTGTTGTTCAGGGTCAACTGTATAAACAATCCTAGGAGATTACAGAACTTTTCATAGGACCAAGTGCTATTAAAAGAAAACTATTAAGTGCAGCTCGTCTACCACAAGTTGTGGCAAGTGACAGACATCTGAAGTTGTATCTGTGTTTTTTAAACAATTATCCAACTAATATTTATTGAGTACCTATTTTGATTCAGGCACCAAAATATAGATACAAAAATAAATGAGGCATAGTCCTGGCCCTCAAAGGGCTCACAGCCAAGTGGAACAGACAAATACATACACGTACAAAGTGTGATGTGGTGAGGTACATGTTAAGGGAGGTATCACAAAGTACTATGGAAGCACTGAGGATAGAGACCTCCAGCATTTCAGAAGCTGCTATTTAATACACAGGTATCTAGGTGTATTTAGAAAGTCACATTTATCCCACATCACCTTAACCTATTTGCCACATGAAGAAAAAATGGGGGAGAGGGGATTGGAAGAGACACTACACCAATTATACAAACTAGATTTACAATGCAGTATTGATGTACTAAACCTGCTCTGCAAGGAGCCTATTGTAGGAATTACACAATAACCAGACCAAGTAACATATTATCAGATGATCTAGTCCTGTTCTTTAGCACTCTGCATTGTTAAGGGCAGATCTGCTGTCTGCTTTTGGCAGGGGGAAGTGGGTGGCAGCACAAATGCAGTACTTGCCACCCATGTACTGCTGCTCTCTGAGCACCATACAATGTCCTCCACATCTCCAAGCCTTTCCACTTACTGCTGCTTCTGCCTCACATATTCTTCCTGTTATGCTACATCCCCATCCTGGAGACCTCCAGAAACCATATCTCCTCTGTAATACTCGCCTAATGTCACCAGGCAGGGTCAGCAAATCTCTTCTCTGGACTCTCATAGTTTTCTGCACATCTTTATTATTTTAGAATTGCTGCACTGAACTGTGTTAGTTTCTGCATCTAAGAGATTCTTGAAGGTATGAGTGCACTTTATCACTCTTTGTGTCATCAATATCCAGTGCTTAGAAGGCACTAGAATGAATGAAATGAATACATAAAACCATGTAACGGGAATAGCTCTAACATGGTATTTTCACTAAAAATCCAGGAAGCCATGACCAAACCGTGGGACCAGGCAACCTATGGGGATTGTTAGTGACATTCTAGCACTACCCACCAATTCTGTTTATATTTTATCTCTCCGAAATACAAGATATTAAAGGATTATATTAGATAGAAACTTGACTTCTCATTATATTAAGAGATGGGTGAGAAAATGGAAAATATGACAGAAAAAGACCATAGACTTAACTTTTAAAAATGCATTTAGGCTGGGCGCTGATGGTTCACACCTGTAATCCCAGCACTTTGGGAGGCCGAGGCAGGCAGATCACTTGAGATCGGCAATCAACATGATGAAATTCCATGTCTACTAAAAATACGAAATTAGCTAGGCATGGTGGTGCATGCCTGTAATCTAAGCTACTGAGGCTGAGGCAGGAGAATTGTTTGAACCCAGGAGGCGGAGGTTGCAGTGAGCTAAGATCACAGGACTGCGCTCCAGCCTGGACAAGAGCAAAACAACTAAAAAAAAAAAAATGCATTAGCACAGTTAGTATAAAAAGACCTAAGAGTCACAGTTTTCAGAAGCCAGCAGTTTGGTATCATCAGGAATATAATCCCCCTCCATATACCTAACACTAATCAAATCCTTTTTAAATTTATAATGTTTCACATTGGTTTTAATTTTAAAAGTTTGCGAGATAGAATCACTTTGGAAAATTTCTGGCAATATCTACTTATGTTGACCATATACCATGAATTGGCAATTACACTTTTAGGCATATATTCAACAAAAGCTGACATTTGTTCACCAAAAGACATGTGCACATTATTCATATTATCCAGTAAGTCTATATTTGAAACCCAAATATCCATCTAGAGTTTGAACATCAAAAATAACTAAACTCTTGAACATTTCTTCTTCTATCTTAAAAACAGGACAGGCACAGTGGATCATACCTGTAATCCCAGCACTTTGGGAGGCTGGGGCAGGAAGATCACTTGAATGGGGTTTGAGACCAGCCTGGGCAACATAGTGAGAGACCAGTGTAGAGTCTCTACAAAACAAAACAAAAAAAACCCAAAAATTTAGCCAGGAGTGGAGTTGTGCATCTATAGTCCCAGCTACTTAGGAGGCTGAGGTGGAAGGATCATCTACCTGTATTCAGGAGTTCAAAGTTACAGAGAGCTATGATCACACCACTGTACTCCTGCCTGAGCAACAGAGCAAGATTCCAACTTTAAAAAATAAATAAATAAAAGCAAAACAATAAGCAACAAGCATACCCAGTGCTAAGATCATTGGAGAACACCATTCTCCAATAAAGGAACAAGAGCTCCCTGGAAATATGGCTGACTCTAGGGTTGGGGCAAGAAATATACAAGATGAGCCTTGAAACGTCTTGCAGTGCCAGAAAGCAAGCACATGCTCCACCAGACAAAAGGAAGGCTGCTTATCAAAGGAACACAGGAGCCAAGCCTAAGGAGCACCAAATAGTCATGGCAGGAACAATCTGAGTAACAAAACAACCAAAGTACTAAATATAGTCAATCCAGACCGATATAAACAAATGATTGAATAGATAAGTAAATGGGAGAGAAGGCACAAATCTTCCTCACAGAATTCAAAATAACTTTAAGAAGACATTCACACCTCCAGGAGATGGTTTAATTACCTGGCCCCATCCTTGAATGCAGGCTGGAATTAATGACTCCTTTCTAAAGATTGATATACAGAAAAAAATAGAAATAGTCACATTTTAGTGGAGAAACCTGACAAACACTGTCTTAATCAAGTGGCCAGGTTCTCATAACCACTGATGTCACATGGATATCATGTGCCCCAATATGATGTGATGAGAAGAACCCTTCACCTCGCTGGTATTCTTCCCACAAACCTACAGCCCAGGCTAGCCATAAAAATATCAGGCAAGTCCAAACGGAGGGACATTTTACAAAACAGCTGACCAGTAGTCACCTAGACTGTCAAGGTCATGATAAACTGTCACAAACCAGAATAAACTAAGGAGACATGATGACTAAATGCAACATAGTTTCTTGAATGGGATTTCTGCAATAGAAAAAGGACATTAATAGAAAAACTGGGGAAACCCAAATGAAGTCTGGAGTTTAGTTAATAGCAATGCATCAATGTGGCTTTTTAGTTTTGACAAATATACCACAATAAGATAAGATGTTAACATTAGGGAAACTGGGTGAGGGGCAAATAAGAATTATCTGCATTATCTTTTCAACTTTTCTGTAAGTCTAAAATTATCCCAAAATAAACAGTTTGGTCACGCCCACAATCT